ACGCGTATACGTGCGAAGCTGTGTGCGTGCACGCGTATACGTGCGAAGCTGTGTGCGTGCACGCGTATACGTGCGAAGCTGTGTGCGTGCACGCGTATACGTGCGAAGCTGCGTACGTACGAAGCTGTGTGTGTGCGCGCGTGCCTGCATTGTACATGCCTGAACTTGTACAACAAATACAATTTATAGAGATCAACAGGAAATGAGATTACAAAAACTTGCTTTAAATAAAAATACAATAAATAGTAATACACCCCACTGCTTTAGACGTTAGCAAGAATCTTCTTTTCTCTATTTAGTCACAAGGAAATTAAAAATTGCGCACTTTAAAAGTTTTTAGATCAACTGGTAATGCATATCAAACAATAACATACACAGATGATTATTGCCCTCAATTATTAATCTTACAGTAACATTTTTTTTTAAGTAACTTGATGCTATTATTCTCAATTATTTTAAATTCATTTAAATGTAAATACTATTGTTTAAAACCGAGCCACTGCCTTCTGTAATTACTTACGAGTAATCTTGTATCGACTTACGTAGCATATGTTATAGAATCCTATACCCATAAGCGGAACCAACCTTTCATGCAGTCCTGTGTAACAATATACACATTGCACCGAGTAACAAACTTTTCACACACACTTGGCCTGTATAACCTTGCAAGCCTTCCTATGTCTCAAATACTACACACTGCCTTGCGTAACCAATCTTTCACCCACTAATCTTCTGTAATCTTTCTCCCGCTTTCCTGTGTAGCATATAAATATAAATTGTTCGACAAATTGTGCAACACACGATATCATATATGTATATATATATATATATATATATACATATAGCATGTCAAATAATGCACAATATGTTAATCTCAATTCAGAACTGTCATGTGAAAACAGACTTCGCATGAAAACGAAACTAGAAAACGCGAGGCATGAAACTCTCTGCGTGACACAGTGATCCAAAAAGAAAACCTACTTTGACTGCTTGAATCTTTTTCTTATATTCGGGTTTCAGACAGTGGTACATTTCTCTGAAAACGGGGTATATCTGGTTTGGGGTGAAACATGTCCCTAGATTATTGACAAACATTGTTTGGCAAAAGGCCTAATGAAATATGATCTTACAAAAACTACATTACACTCACTGTTGATATATAGCATCTGCGCTGACAGTGAAATTATGTAAGACTAATTACTGGCTGTATGATTAACTTGGCGGTATTAATTGGCTTTCATAGCCAGTTAATACCACTATAACATGACCAATAGAACATTTTGCAATGATATCATATCTTTGAAGTATGCACAAAGCTTGCAGCCCCTTAAATATCACGAACAATGCACGCACTTAAATCATCATTAGAGGCTTGTCGATAATGATCTCTCCATAAATGAAAATGTAGATAATCTTTGAATAACACATCTGGTTTCAAACCATCACAACCTAGGCTGAGGCAGAGATGTAAGGAAATGAGGGACAGGCTTAAAGTATGGATTTGCGTGAATGTGTGGCTGTTTTTCTATAAATCTGCCGATGTACACATGTATATATACGTGTATATAAATATATTGAAGCTATCCAGTATCCAGTCATTATTGACATTTGTCCACAATCTGGAAACAAAAGAAAACGAAAGCTATATACACATAATCAAAAAGTAAACGGTAAATAACTTACAAACCTATATTAAATTCGTCCTTTAACATCAATACAGTAGACGACGAGCAATAAAGTTGGTATTGTATTCTAATGGCTGCTGTTCTGCCTTAACGAGAGTTAGCTGACACATAATTTGTGCAAGAATATTTGTGGTTTGCGTCGAGAGCTCGCTTAAATGCCAATGATTTCAGTACACCTTACTGACTAGACAGCAGACCGTCCAAGTGAATGACACAGTCAGGTATAATTCACACAAGATAAAAGATACAGAGCAAGATTAAAGAATACAGAGCAAGATAAAAGAATACAGAGCAAGATAAAAGAATACAGAGCAAGATAAAAGAATACAGAGCAAGATAAAAAAATACAAAGCAAGATAAAAGAAGTGGGACGATGGCAATTTTTGTTTTACGAGAGTAGGTTTCACACCTCAATAAGATTATCCAGACCATGTAGGTATCCATCCTCATGGTTCCCTAGGATCCACGGTGACCGATGGTCAATCTCTAATGCATCTGATATCGCAGCAGTCTTTGCCAAATCTATCATCCATACGCCTACTGACGTGTCATCGTATATCAACAGTAATGAACTACCGATGACCTACAAATATAAAAGTGCCCGCCAATGTAGATACAACTAGACAGAGTGCACTCACAAAGAGTGCATACCTCCGCCAGCGACATACGCCATACGACTCACGAACACACGAATAAGCCACGATATATGCCAGCGTACTGACATGTACACGCTGGCTTGCTGCTCGCTCGCTCGTAGCAGCCGCTCGTTGCTGCTGCTCGCTGACATGTACACGCTCGCTAGCTCGCTGCGCTGGCTCGCTGGGTATCACTGGCTGGCTGGCTGAGCTGGCTGACGCGCTAATATCGATCGCGCGAACACACGAACACACAAGAGCGAATACATAACCCCCTCCAACTCCGTTGGGCGGAGGTAATCAATTCATCACTATGGGGGAGAGGGGGACTGCGTGTGAGTGCATGAAAAGTGAAAACACATGACAGTTTGTAACCTTGTGTTTTACTCCGACTGCCATATTGTCATGCCTTTCTATCGGAAGCATAAGAGTTGTAATAAGCCAAGTAATTATTTGAAAATATGTTCAATTTTAAATTTTGGAGCTTATCGCATTAGCACTTGGTTTACTGATTTTCATGTACAGGGACGTGTAATGTAAGAACGATGACACTGAGGACATAAGATAACAGCCACAGCACAGCTATACCTACCTCATGCATACTGAAGAAAGAAGACTTCTCGAAGTTATCACGCAATTTCCGCAATTCAACACTCAGCCCTGTCGTGACTTCAGAATTTCCTGATAAGGCATACAAGTGTCTGTTACAAGTTGGCAGTAAAATGGCTAGACATTCTGAAGACCAGCAGTAAACACAAGCTAGGGGGTGGGATACGTGTGTCTTGAGTGACTCTAATAACATATCCACTACAGGTATGCCAGTACTTAGCATTACTATACCCAACACTACATATCATTTCCACCTACACGCATGCACACATGCTTTTTGTACAGATAAGGTATTTGTACGTTACATGCCATATTTATCGTGTTAATTTTAGTGTGCATTTAATTATACAGACATAAGTATGTAGGTTCTTTCTTCTTTTCTCACTATATATTATTCTCAAATTTGTGCCACTCACCTAAAAGAAACTCTGACATGGTTTTAAGTACATCATCCTTGGATCGCACTTTCTTCAGATTGCCGTTACTGACCACTTCATGGCCACTTAGCTTGATGCCTTCAATTCGGAATGATAATGTTGAGGTTGAGCTGGCCATCTCTCTGAACTGCAGGAAATAATACAAGCAAGCACCTAGTCAAAAACCCATACAGTGCAAAGCCCAGCCATAACTTAGCTGATTTCAGTGATTTTACCAGAATAACTCGCCCGCACACACGTAGATGTAGGTCTCCTAACCAATTCACAAGCCAATGATTCAACACCCCCCACCCCCCACACACAGACCCAATGTTCTTGTACCCGTGAATAATTAATTCCTTGCACACTCCTACAGTCTGGTAAAGAAAGAAATGTAGGTCAGCAGAAATTTGGGCTATTGGTCAACAAAGCTAGGTGAGGTGGTGGTCAACTAAAAAATCATACATAACTACAGCTCTAAGAAAAGGTTGTGACTGTACAAGACTTATATCAGGACTAACACAATTAGCACATGCTTAATTTGTTGCACTTGATATGATCAGGAGTGTTATAACATAGACACACATAAATAATATATAAATAATAACAGGGCCGGATCTAGCTTTTGGGAGACGGGGAGGAGGGGATTGATATTTGTGTGAAGGCATGCCGAAGGCAAGCGGTGCTAGGGTGGCCCCATTTTACTAGTATCATAACATCAGGAGTAAATAATAATAGAGTATCTATATTAATAATCTATTATTATTCATTCCTGATAACATTAGTCATGGGCTGAATAGGAGGAGGGGTGCAACACCCCAACCCCCCTCTAGATCCGCCACTGAAGAATATAGTCTATATTATGACACTCCTGATGTGTATTGTAGAGGCGTTTAGTCCCACAGCTGTATTGGGCTTCTAAGATAAACAAGCACTTGTGTTGGATCTACTCTAGTCCATTCTTTTTGGTCTGAATTATCTTAAAAACGGACTCATTCTTAGACCAATTTTCCAGATACTCTGAGAACAGCTATAGCTATTTATGTCCTTATACACACACATTTTGTTGTTGAAAAAAGACCTACAGCAACACATCCAGGCCACGTTTTCTTCAATTTCTACGTTTTATGTGTCGCCCACCCATGCATGACAGTCTAGTCAGGTAGGTGTCTGAAGGGTTATTGACTTATTGGCAATCTGTATACTATGACCTTGACCTGACAGACCACTTTAAATTGGCTCTTACCTTCTCCCTGAGCAGTGGTTTTCCTTTCACTCTCTGACACATATGGTATTCAATGATTTTTTACCTAACATACACTTGATTATTTCTAATACTGCTAGTGAGAGTAATACCACAAGCTCTTGCATATGAGTTCCAGTATTTGATTACCTCAACACAAATTTTTTATTGCTATAACCATAGATACAGAATAAAGATCTTCTATATCTCTAGATATCTCTAGATATCCTTCTATTCTATATATCTATATGCTATAACTTATTACTATTCCTCCCTCTATTGGCCATATTAAGAATTACAATCAGTGCTACTTCGACCAAATACATAATTATGACTACTAGGAGCGAGATATTTTTGCTTCTCCACATGTCTCCACGTGCGAATGTTTTATGATCACGTAGTTATAATTACACAGCAACAGTCAATTTTGGCTCGCAGACAAAAAACCATTCTAAAACACTGACAATGGGAAAGTATCAAACCGAGCCTGGTGGTGAATGTTGGCAAGACCAGAGCTTGTTTGCCTGCTCGGAGGCAAAAACTTACACCGACAGAGACATGGAAAACGCAGCGAGACAGACCTACAGAGTACAGACTGATGTCGGTTTAGCTGGTGCCTTCTCCTGCTCGAAGGCACGATGAAACATAACTGCGGTAGACACACCCACTGCACGCTCTTGCCATATATTAAAGTCTCATATCACGAATTGTACACAGAACCAGGCTATATTCAATTACTTGGCCTACATAGAATTAGAAAGAGGCCAAAATACTGCTGCAGAGAATTGCAAGAATACAGTGAACGTGACCCCTTGAAAAACGTTCTTCTATAGTTTAGCCGATGAGGTGTGTGTGTGCGCGAGTGTGCGTGTGTGCGCACATACCTAGCTGTTTGTTACCTAATGTGAAACCATTGTTATCACACAATAACATCAGCATTCACAAATTGGCCAGCACAATATCAGAAATAACACTTCCAACGAGTTTAAATTCTCTGCCACAACAACACAACCTTCAACAACCAATTCACTATATACATATACATTAGTTGTACATGACATTATATTATTAGTATATATGACATTAGTTAATAATGACAATTTGTCATTATTAAATCCTGGTATTACTAAATACAGCTCATAGGGTCTATGTCCCCCAGGGTACTGCCGGAACATACCCTGGGTACGGTCCGGTATACCGGAACGTACCCTGGTCTCTATTTGATATGGTTAGGGTTAGGATTAGGGTTAGGGTTAGGGTTAGGGTTAGGGTTAGGGTTCGGGTTCGGGTTAGGGAGTAGGCGTAGGCGACTCCCTAGACTCGTTAGTGGAGTAGACGAGGTACGGTCAGGCATATTAGATAGTACCAGGGTACGTTCCGGTATACCGGACCGTACCCAGGGTACGTTCCGGCAGTACCCCGGGGGACATAGACCCTCTCAGCCTAAATACAGCATGCACTAGCTGGTTAAAACCACATCGAACCGCATTCTGCTTTGTTTGACCTTGGTGATTAATGGGTACATGGTATACAGATCTGCAACAGGCAACTGCCAGGTACCAACATACCTAGGTACCTAGAAATACAGGTGTCTTATAACCACACACCTCTTATACACATATATAAAAAAAATGTGCATAGATATAAAGGTCCATAACTGCGGGAGTCCTGCAGATGACACAGGAGATAACTTGCAACACGTACATACACATGTATACACGGCAGTTTAAAACTGGGAACGTGAACTGTAGATAAATGAGCGCAACCGGTGGCAGTCACACACGTACACATTCTTTGATACAGATCCATCACACACGTACACATTCTTTTAGACAACTCTGGGGGGGGGGGGAAATGTAGATAAAGGCGAACAAAAACCTGCAACAGGTACCTGCATGTAGCGGAGCTTCGTGACTGCAGCATTACTATGCTCCTCGGCTGTAGGTTCGTCTGCATCCAGCTTTACCATCTTGTCGTACAGATCTGTCCGCAACGCCGGATTCTTTACTTCAGACTCTAGAAATGTCCTGCGAGTAACATTCACAGTTATTTTCTACCCTAACGCTCTACTTCTCTAAATACGTCTGTCTTAAGCAATACTCTGCAACAAATTATCACGATTGCTTCGAGGTTCTGATAGTAACACAACTCTGCGAGTGTAGCTACTTCATCATCATTTCCTCGTTGTAAGTCTATTTTTAATATAAATATTATTATTAATAATTGATCGAAGAAAAAGCAGAGAATTTTATTGTGTGCACTGATATACTAACAGTAACATTAGAAGACGGTGGGGGATTATTCGGTAACGTACCTACAACCCATTTTGATATCCATGATGCAAGGATCTGTAAACTTGTGCAGCAAATCAGTCAATTCTATGTAATCTGTATTGCTCACGTCAAGGACAAAACTTACAAGAACTACACAGTTAAAGTTAACAAATAGTCAAGTATTTATGCCAACAGTATGACCTTCACTTGTGAATGAACCTGAAAATTTGTTCCGTTTATTATGTCTTACTATGATTTATTACACCTTATATACCAATGGAAACAACACGTCATTGGTACCGAGTACAGAAATACACCACGTTACAACTCGACAACTCAAGTTACAATTTGTAAATTAATACCACTTTACTGGCGATAAAAACATGAAAATTGGCTCTTTAAACAAATTCATAACAAAAGAGTATTTTTGGAATGAGTGGGTTTTCTACTCAAAAATTACCAGGTTCTACTGCTGTAAAAAAATATGCAATACATATGTAGCCGGTTGCCAAAACGGCAGGTGGGTCACCCTTGGTATATGTATGTCACCCTTGGTTTGACCTACACCAGCACTCTTTATGAGCATTCGTGCAATATCCCCCACCCCCAGCGCACGCCCAGTATACTACACGTACGTGTTACCAAGAACACATCATCTAACATAGTTTACGTGCTCTTGATGTTACTTATTTTAAAGGCAGTCCACAATGACCTCAGGCTGCTACAGAAAACTGTACACAGAGAATATCTGCCAGAAACAGTAACCAACTTTAGATAATTTTGGCCTACAGGTCAGAGCCGGAAACACCCACACCCGACAATGGTAGTTATAACGAAAGTAAGCTAGTGGATTTAGTAGGCCTCCCTATACCTACTAGTAATCCTAATTATGTACTCCCTTTCTCTCCCAGTATACCATGATACTGTGTATTACACCAATAAATAATCAATCTATGCATTTAAAAATAAATCTAGTAAATCTTACAGTTGAAAGATTTTCCATAACCATGCATCTCCAATTATATAATACAAGACTACAGGAATATGTGATTCACATTGCGATTCTTTGCGTTAGAAACGTTTTTTTTCTGGAAAGCATAACTTACATACAATGTTACTATATTTTCTCACTCGCCTTGTCATAGAACCATTAATGACTATAATAATTAAAGGGATAATATTATATCCTTATAAATAATATAAATAATTTATATATTTTGGCATTAAAACCACAAATACAGTCTATAAATAATCCACCTGTAGAAATTTTAGTAACTTTGTAAAAGAGCCAGCATGTATATTTTGTACCTTCCCAGGTATGATATTTTCTGGAAAATTTAATAAAACGTATAAACAGGATACGTGAGCCTTTATACTCCAGCTCCTGGTGGAAGGTGGGTACCATATCCCGCATGTTTTCTTCCTCCATGATGAGTTTGTAAGCTTGAGCCTCGTGGGAGCCAGCCACATGTTTCTTCCATATAGTGTCTAACCCCGCAGGAAAAAACGAACCTGCATCCAATATAAGAGCATGAGCATATTTGCGTTCAATTAGAGATTGGTAAACTGCGAGCAGAAATTTTACTAAATCATATATTTTTCTTTCAGGGACCATTTCCATTGCTCAAAATATTTCATCAGTTGCTCAAATGTTTATTGAAAGATTGGTAAATTATAAGCAGAAATTTTACCAAATCATATTTCTCTTTTAGGGGCCATTTCCGTTGCTCAAAATGTTTACAATGAGACTATTGAGTGCACGTGTGTAGAGAGAGAAAATCTTATATGTTTTTACACACATTGTTTTTACACACATGAATAAATTCATAACATTCCACCAAATTTGAAACATTACCATCATTTTGGGAGGTCACAAAAAAGTCAACTGTCTGCATGATTAATTTTGATTACGTTGATTATTGTGAACAACCCTTAATTGTCTGTGGTGCATTTAGCATTTCTGCATACCTTCATGCCCTGAGAGTTGTATCCATTTAGACTTTCTATACTTGACAAACAAATCACATGCCGGTGCCACCAGATCCAGAGCATTCTAACAAGAAACAATAACAATACAGATTACAAAACATACATAACTATAAGTGTAGCCTGGAAGAAATATACCTGTTATTTATAAGAGGAAGAACCGAATAGACAATGCATGAGTATGGTAAATTTATTATATTTTAATCGTAAATTATTCAATGGAAATTTAATTGCATGATGCTTATTTTCTTAGCCTAGAGTCCATTTTGTGTTCAAAATTCATAGTTAATTGTACAGACTAGACTAACGCAGGCTGTATGTCGATAAGAGGTTTATCGTTATGTAGACCAAATTTTGATTTGTCAATCAGACACATTCGTGATCAAAATCAATAGGCTCCCATTGGAATAACCCATTCTTATCCAAAAACAGATGATTACCTTCGTTTTACATTTAGGCTTTTTAAGACAACCTATTTTTATACCAAAACTTATCGCTTATAAATTAATAATAACAGGTATTGTAATGAAATCCTGGTCGACTATTACTACCAGATACAATACAATACTAGGTAGTGTAACCCAACAAGAGTAGTAAAAAAAATGTTATAAAAAACCAAAAAACAAACAAATGTAATATAACCCTACTCTTGAGTATTGTTGGGTTATATCAGGAGTTAATAATGACAAATTTTTGTCATTATTAACTCCTGGTTATATCATATGTTACTGTTACTGTTACTGTAGCTCTAATAGTAGTACCAGTGGCGCCCGCAGATAGAAGCACTGGAAGCACTGGAAGCACAGTGCTTCCAGTAAATTTTGGATTAAAAAATGTTGTTCCTACATTTTGTTCCTAAATCTCTCTCGCAAGACTCACCAGATTGCATCTCCAGACGTCTACCATTCAAAAATTTTCAGGGGGGGCATGCCCCCAGACCCCCCTAGCATGCAGCGCGCCTACGGCGCTTGCTTTATATTATCACTGAGGATTTTATCCTTCTGTGCTTCTACTTTCTTAAGACCTGTGGGCGCCAGTGAGTACTAAGTAGTACTATAGCCCGCGTACAGTTGCCGCAGGCCTGCGGCAACTGTACGCGGGCTATAGTACTAGAGCTACTTTTACTGTTGCTGAGAGGGTCTATGTCCCCCAGGGTACTGCCGGAACGTACCCTGGGTACGGTCTGGTATACCGGAACGTACCCTGGTACCAGAGCATAAAAATCAACGCGATTTATATGCTCTGCTGGTACTATCTAATATGACGGACTGTACCTCGCCTACTACACTAACGAGTCTATATAGAGTCGCCTACGCCTACTCCCTAACCATATCAGATAGTTACCAGGGTACGTTCCAGTATACCGGACCGTACCCTGGCAGTACCCTGGGGGACATAGACCCTACGAGCGTTACGCTGAGTCGACTATAGTAGCCTAGTATAGGCTATAAATTATAATATAACTTAACTCTGCACACTGCAAGTCTAAGCGAGGTATGTGTGCGTTGACTAGCTACCTTTTCTAATGGTTCTGTCTTACTATGTTTATCATTCCACGAACAATTTACAATGTCCATCATCGTACTACTGTTGGTTTACTTATAGTTATGTAGTATTACGTTGCACAGGCCAACTAACATTGCATTAAAACGTCAAAATTCTCATACATTATTATCAGTACAGTACCACTTCCTACTTTTTGGCGGATTTACACTGGCGACACCCAGCGGCGATAACCGTGAAACTTTGTAGAAAGTTAGGAACGCATGGTCAACGACTCAACGTGCGCGCGCTGTACTCACACATCGTAAACACGTGCAAAAAGAAAACTGTTTCAAATTGCTTCAACGGTCGAACAAGAAACTACCCGATGTATCCTCTTCGCGTTTTTATAATTTGTAAATAACGCTTAGAAATAGTTTGCTATTTATCCCGTGTACTTTATATTCTTTCTTTATACAATACAATTTAGTCTATAGTCTATAGACAGTTTTTGTGGCGAGTTGCGCATGTGGTTATGCATCCCGGCGTGATCATGTACCTACCATTGCCAGTATACCAACGGGGGTCTCTCGTAGTTGTTCTTCCTGCGTCGGCATTGCTTTCCGCCGTATCCTAAACTTTTCCTGAAGGCCCGTCATCACGGAATAGAATCCTCTCCCACACACACACTGCCCTTGCGTTGCAACGTCCGCACCCATTTGAACAAGTTGGTGCTACTCAAAAAAACGTCTGCGTCTGCAACAGCTTTACCTGCAGGCGATATCAGTCAAGACAGCGTAAGAAATCGATGCGTGCTATTCCTTGGTTCGCTTGTCACCTAAATATATCACAACACGACGCTGTCCACCAACACCTCGGGGTCTGTCTCACACACACAGCTCAGTTAGTACAGTTACTGGGATAGTTATAGTTGGAGAGCACCTAAATGAACACACGTGCAACTACAAAGGTGTCGCGCGTACAGCCACTAGCGCCACAGCACATGCGCAACGAACGCCAACTGTTGAATATAGGACTTTCTCTCGAGTTCCGACTTTTTGATAGTCATACTCATAGCTTGCTGACTCCTCCGCAAACAAACGCACTCGTGACCTCATCTTCCGCTCCGTATCTGTTAGTCTATATGACGAATATGTCTACATGTGACGTATACGTGCATCCAGTGGTGTATACGTGTGTACGTGTATCCGGTCGCATCAGCGTGACATCACGCGCCAATCACGCAGCCAACGTCAATGGGAGATTACGGGTCGCGATAGCAGACGCGATATCCGACCTGCCTGGTCACGACGAATGTGCACAGCGCGTGTATGTGTGTATGTGGCGATGTAGTGGGCTCTAGCTATTTACGCGTCGCTGATTGACGAGCCGCGGCAGTGCCTACGCGCGCCCGCGTACAACTTGTATGTTATATACACAAGCACGCATTCAGAGTCCATTCACGCAGCACACGCGCTGTATATAGGTTCTGTATGAGTAGTGGCCAGAAGGGGGTTGTGCAATCCTCGCGCGGCTCATATCACGGTCGGTCGCCTGTATGCGGATCGACCTGCGTGATGGGGTAATCGCTCGGCACTTTGAACGGGCCAACGTCACTGTCTGTCGTGTTCTGACGTTGTTCCCCCAGTTCTGTCTTTGTTGCAGTTGGTTTGTAACAGTGGCAGATGCAGCGAGTGAGCGGATCCGGTAGCTATTATTATAATGCCATGCACCCGCTTATATTATGTCAGACCATGGTCAGACAATGTAGCCATAAATAGCAACGAAACATGTTTCGCACGCACGCAAGAGAGAATTACTTGTGCAGTAAGGAGTTTGTGGTGAAAATATCTGTGTGCTCTATATATAGTATACATTATATCAGGAGCGTATAATATAGAGATCTCTATAGAGATATATAATATCAGGAGCGTATGTCATTATACGCTCCTGATAATATATAATATCTCTATATTATACACTCGTGATTATATCAGGAATTGCGAGGTGGGCACAGCCTGCCGTCGAGGAAAAATCGGCGGGAGAGTAACTCGATCGTCAGGGAATCTACCTATGAACAAAATTTACCCAAAGTTACCTTTAGACTTTAGTGCAGCGCTAATCGAAGTCAATATAGCGGAAAAACAATCAGCACGACGAAGGGCGAACACACAAGATATCAAGAAGATATACAATATAACACTTAATTGATATAATAATTTGTTGAATAATATATTTAAGCAATATTGTAAATTAACGTCAATAACGCGTTAATAACACGTCAATAACACAAAATTTATATAATATCGTTAAAAAAGAATAGGCCTAATTATCGTTATAGATAAAGCAACCATTTCCAAACTTAATTTTTAAAAGTCGAAGATCTGCTTGAATCTAGAAATTTAAAAGAATGAATCCGCTATATATAGTTTTCAAGAACCTTAATTTGACATAACCCTACTCGCAATGTGTGTTTAACCCCTCACCCCTCACGACACGGACTCTAATCCCACCACCGTCACGGACGTATAGGTGACGTGTCGGGCAATCTTATGCCGACCCCTGGAAGATATAGGAGATTAATTCTATGAGAAAATGTCCTAGTCAACAACTGACATATATATCAACTACATTGCATAAGGGTATTGGGTTTATGTGTACGTGTATCTAGGGCGCATGCGGAAAATTTCATGCGCAAGCTTCTGTAAAAGAGAAAAAGCGCAGATCACACATGAATTTTTTTTAAATTGCTGTGGCTTAACGGCAGGCTGTGCCCACCTCGCAATTCCTGATATAATCCCGAGTGTATAATATAGAGATATTATATATTATATATCTCTATAGAGATCTCTATATTATACGCTCCTGATATAATGTATACTATATATAGGGCACACAGATATTTTCACCACAAACTCCTTACTGCACGAGTTCTCTCTTGCGTGCGTGCGAAACGTATGTTTCGTTGCTATTTATGGCTACAGCCTACATTGTCTGACATAAGCGGGTGCATGGCAATATAATAATAGCTATACCGGATCCGCTCACTCGCTGCATCTGCCACTGTTACAAACCAACTGCAACAAAGACAGAACTGGGGGAACAACGTCAGAACACGACAGACAGTGACGTTGGCCCGTTCAAAGTGACGAGCGATTACCCCATCATGCAGGTCGATCCGCATGCAGGCGACCGACCGTGAGCCGCGCGAGGATTGCACAACCCCCTTCTGGCCATTCCTACGTTGCTATGGCTACTTCAGAATTTTAGTAAACAGCTAGGTGCGGAATGACTAAAATTACGCGCTATATAACTGATAACATATATAAACATATATACTCCCACGTCTAAGTCTAGATGAGTTCATTTTATTTATACTAATTACGTATATTTTATAATATTTATAACACATACTATAACAATAAAACCAAAAATACCAATCATGTATTATTGTAATATATCGATCTAATTGACGTGAACGGATAGCTAGGTTTTTATACCTTGAGGAAGAAAGGGAAATGTTGCGATTAACAATTATAGCTGTGAATCTATTCAGATGAGCTTCGAATGGCACTCCGGCTAACACAAAAACGTTATTATAACGTTGTTATAACGTTATTATAATGCTATTGTATGGTTCGTGTAACGTTATTTAATAACGCTTATTCAACGTAGATGTGTCAGGTTTTTATAACGTAGGCCTATGTAAAATGTGTTTTTATATAACAATAATATAAAGTTATTGTATATAGGCTCCTGGCAACGTTAAAATAACGTTAGTAAAAGTATACAAAATAACGTGATTTTTTTACTCAAATGTGTTTTATTCTACTCAAACAATTGTGCAACCAAATCATAACGTTGATTCGTTAATCATTGCGAAAACGTTATGTGTTAGCTCAGTGGGACCTCCGGCATAGTACATTTTCAAACTTTCCCCCTGGGAGGGCTGCCATGCAGCTGATATTCGGAAGACCAGCGCTTGTACACTCTCTCTTCTTCTTCTTCTTCTTCTTCTTCTTCTTCTTCTTCTTCTTCTTCTTCTTCTTCTTCTTCTTCTTCTTCTTCTTCTTCTTCTTCGTTCTATCCTCGTCGTCTTCTTCTTGCTGTGCGTGTCTGTCGTGTGTTCGGTGGCTTGGTGCTTGGTCTTCGGTACTTTTCTTTTCTTGTTCTCTTCTTCTTCTTCTTCTTCTTTCTTCTTCTTCTTCTTCTTATTTCTTCTTCTCTTTTCTTCTTCTTCTTCTTCTTCTTCTTCTTCTTCTTCTTCTTCTTCTTCTTCTTCTTCTTCTTCTTCTTCTTCTTCTTCTTCTTCTTCTTGTTCTTCTTCTTGTTCTTCTTCGAGTCCAGGTCTGGAATTTATCAAATCAGACGGTGCCAGTGTTCCGCCCAGTCGATTTCCACCTAGCCCCTCCCCTCGCGTAAATCACTCCCTTAACTCTTGATCCGCCACCGAGTGAACATCTTTTCGCCGACAAAGCATCGTCAGTAATTCTTGCAATTGTGCACTAGTGTGCGCTCCAAGTAATGACTAGGTGATTAAATGTAAATAATTTGTAGGAGGTCATAAAAGGTAGAAATACAAACATATACATTTCAAAATAATTTTGCACGTGTAATATGTAACAATTATTAAGTTGGTACAGAATTAAGATTATACGAAGTTAAAATGCAAAATTACTTTAGTTACATATTAAAGGTATGTGGTATCAACGTGTGTGATCTGACAACATATAGTGTAAATTTGTGCTGGCATTACTGTAATGTAGCTATACGTTCGATTTGCATACGATTAGAATTATGTTTAGTTTATTTAGTTGCAGGTATTTGAATCTCTATAAATGGCAGATGGACATATATAGCGGGCCTCCCGTGTACTATGGTAAGTAGAAGCCGCGGCATGGGTACAACCTCGTGGCAGGGCGGTGTGTATATACAGGCTGTGTGTGTGTATACACAACACGGGTGCTGAGAAACGAGTGACGTCAATTCTAGTTTTCACAGAACTGGCACGATCGAGCCGCATAACAGCATAGATATATACAAACACACACACGCGCGCGCGCGCACGCACGCACGCACGCACGCTCGCACGCTCGCACGCGCGCGACGATGCAGTGTCTACTCTCGTACTATTGTTTTATCATTTGACACCAGGATAACTTGAGCGGGAGACGGACGTTACCGACATCACCAAGACGGAAGATAACACCAGTGAGCTTCCATATAGCGCAACATCAGTATATCTGTTTCTCTGCAGTCAATGTGAGATTGGCTTAGCGTAAATGTTACACTACCGCTGTTCGACCAGTCGTGTTATTTCCCCTGTCTGGGTTTCAAGCATTCTTCAAGTAAAGTCAACAAACACCGCATAAATATGGAGCAGTGAGATACTCGCTTCAGTGACAACCTATATATGGACAGACAGAGTCTTCAATTACTGTGCCTTTACTACTTTACTTTTACTTTGTTTGAGCCTTTCACTACTTTATGCCAACTCTTAGATAGCCGGCATTAGGTAGACAAAACATAACGCCTAAGAAGTTCGGATATCCAAGACAATCTACGGCATTATCGATGTAGTTAAGAGTATACATGAAGTAGACCTAGTTTACGTGCATTGTATATGTGTACTCTTTATATTTCGTGTTATCAGAGATCCTCTTACAGCAGCCCCCACAGCCACGGCGATTCCCAGAATGACGTCATCACGCAGCAAACGAATTCGGGTTTCCGTATAAGCCTATCTGCACTGCAGCGTACATCCTAAACCACCGCATCCTGTTGAACCCCCTCAGCATGCATGGTCAACAGTTATAACGTATTTTGTGCTTAGCGTAACGCAGCCCACGCATCTGAATCCAGTAAATACTCTGTATAGTCAGAATTAAATCTATCCATCTAGAGTCAGCTATACCGGTACTCGGTTTCTCGGAAGATGAGGAAGAGAGCGCTTGTTCTGGTATAAGCTAATTTACTAGCTTATATCAAGAGTTTCTGTAAAGATATATTGTTAGTATCATCACTTTATAGTTCATATCTAAGAGACATTATATAATTAAGCTCTATCCGACTTATGGAAGTTCGTGCTTTAGGCTTTAATTTATCTGTTTGCTATTTTTTGTTTAGTTGTTTGTTCATTTATTGACCTACCTTTTTAGAGAAAATATTTATCCAGGATAAATCTAAGATTTGCCTGTTCGCAGTGTGGTCCCTTTAAATAAAGCAATACAAATGTTTTACATTGTAACAAAATTGCCACAGTTATAGTACGCTGTAACAATGTTGTTACATCGTACACGTTTACAAACTAGTCCCTCTCATACGCGTAGTTCGATCATATTCCAATGTGTGATCATATAATGTTAATAATATATATTATATAAATTATTATATTATTATGATATTGACAGGAGTGAATAATAATAGATTATCCCCCCAGATATCTATTATATATGTAAGTTGTTCAGCCGAATTAGTCTGTTCGCGCATAACTA